TGGGGGAGGCAGAGGTCTGTCCCTTTTGGATGGGGTTGTTCCATAGCCTGCCCAGGGGCTCCAGCAGATACACCATCAGCTCATCTTCTCCCTGCCATCCAACAAAATGTTCTTTAGGTGTTTGTTTTTTTCCCCTCTCCAGATCAGTGCCTCACCTGGATGGCCTGGTTTTCAGACTCCTTTAAAGGTGACACTTCAGCAAAATTATTTGTCAGTTTTGGATTCCTGGCATCTTGCCTTCCTTTTCATCCCCTTTACCCGTGAGCCTCCACTCTCAGTTTGATGTTGAGCCTCTGTGGGTGCAGAAGGGCTCATCCTGCTCTGGGTGCTGACAGATGTGGATATTGCTTTTCATCAGCTCTTCTGCAAACAGGCTCATGGCTCTAAGTGAAATGGAATAAACACCTGCCAGGTGCTATCATGCAGTCTGATGAGTCTTTGGGCTGCCTCTGGGATAAACCTGTGTGCAGGTGACATCTCTGCTGCCACCCTGAAGAGTGCTGATGGCTTTGCCACCTTCCCCAGAGCGCTAGAAATGAGATGATGTGCTGTGTGGCTGGTGAAGTGGCTGATTGCATCTCACTGAGAAGTCTGATGTCTTCCTTGTGGGCAGTGAAGGCATCTTAGATGCTCTGGTAAATAATTCATTCTTTACGTAGTGATATTTAAAAGTGAAATACTTGTGGAATTAATCTGATAGGATTGTGACCTCAATAAATGTCTGCACGTGCTGTGTTGTTGGAAGGAGAGGGCCCTAGTTCAGGGAATTGTGTCCTCAGGGACAGACAAAGGCTGGGGACACTGTGCCAGGCCAGGGCACAAGGTCCTGCTGGAGGAAACTGGGATGGGCTCCCTGCACTGACTGCCATCGAGGACTCCAGCACAGGATTTCGCTGCTTGTCAGCAAAAAGTGCTACTGGAGGAACGAGGAAAAAAAGGAAAGAAATTTAAACATCTTCAGTTAATTGCAGTTGACAAGACAAAGGCAGTTTGACTTTTCAGTATTAATTAGCAACCCCATACTAATTAGCTTGTATAAGCACAATTCATGCTTCTTTCCCT